TTATTACTTATTCCAGTGGAGTATAAGGTTGTTTTCATTTTTATCTCTATCCCAAATATCTAGCACATGACTTACACAAAAGAATACAGACTGGATCTGTGATTTAATTAGAATAGAGAGCTCCCAGGTAAGGAAACTCCTAGCATTGCAGGGAAGGACTATTCTTAAATTCATTCGTGATCTTTCAGATGTGTGTACCCTGCCAACTGGTACAGATTGTTATCTATCCAATTTTTTTCTCATCCTGTGTTAATCCTGTCTCTATCTTTCTGATGATCTACCATAGAGGATCTAAATATGCTCTGATAGTTTGAATATATCATGAATACAAGTTCAATATTTGGGTGATCCATTGATCATCACTCCTTCTCAGTATGTAACTAGACTGCCTCTTTAATGATGAGGTGGCTAGGTGATAAAGTGTGATAGAGCCCTGAACCTGGAGTCAGGAAGACCTGAGTTCAGATTTGACCTCAGGAACTCATTAGCTATATGGCATTGGTCACTCAACTTCTGTCTGCCTTAGTTTCCTTATTTGTAAAATGAGGATAATAATATCACCTACTTTCCAGGGTTGTTGTGAGGATAAAATGAGATAATTTTTGTAAAGCACATTGCAAACCTTTAAAGCACTATATGAATACTGGGTATTATTATTATGACTTTTTACACCATGTCTTGTGTACAAGTCTTCATTGGTAATATATTTCATCTTGTGTCTTCCAAGGCTCTTATAGGTCATCTGCAAAAGTGCAAGACATTTAAGTTATAAGCCTTTGCCTATAAGACTTTAAGCCTTTTGACTCCTTCATTTCTTGATTTAGAACCTTATTTTCTAACATAATTTTAACTTCCTGCCGTCCTCTTCTCATACCTGTCCTTGCATTGAAGTTACCTAGTGTCAAGGTACCTGTTGATTTAATTTGGAGCTTGCCAAGTTCTTCAGACTTTCTTCACCTCCTTAGTCTCTACAATAGATATTAACATGTAAACTGAATCTGTCCTCATGATTGTCTGTTTGCTTATGCTCATTAAGAGCCCTGAAAGGTGAAATAACAGAATGTTCCATGAAATGATGTTTTTTGTTGCCTTTGGCTACAAGATAAAGTAACTCTATTATTTTCCTCACAGAGAAGAATGAATGAGTCATTCTTCCATTTATCTACAACTTATGCCTTTTGGTTGAATTTATTACAATATTCAACTCCATTTGTTTGTTTGTTTGTTTGTTTATCTATTTATTTATTTATTCTTCAGTTCCAAATTCTGTCTCTCTCCCAACTCCTCCCTTCCTCATTGAGAAGTCAAGAAATATGATACTCATTATAATATGAACTAATGCAAAACATTTTCACATTAGCCATGTTGCAAAAGAAAAGCAAGAAGAAAAAGTTTAAAAAAAAAAAGCTTAAATCTGCACTGTGTCCATCAGTTCTTTCTGGAGGTGGATAGCATTTTTTTTATTATGAGTCCTTTGGAATTATCTTAGATCATTGTATTGATCAGAGTAGCTAAGTCTTTCACAATACATTGTCATTACAATATTGCTGATACTGTATGCAATGTTCTCCTGGTTCTGCTCACTTCACTTTGTATCAGCCCACATAAGTCTTCCCAGGTTGCTGTGAAACCATCTTTCTTACACTTTCTTATAGCTCAGTAGTATTCCATCACAACTATATACCACAACTTGTTTTACCATTCCCCAATTGATGGGCATTCCTTCAATTTCCAATTCTTTGCCACCACAAAAAGCTGCTATAAATATTTTTGTACATGTGGATCCTGTCTATTTGTCTTTTATCCCTTTAGAATATTTCAATTCAATTTAGCAAGGATTTATTAAGCACCTACTATGTGCAAGCCATTATGCTTTAGATGTATATCTATCTCTCATTGATCATTGGACAAAGATGGCACATGTGCAGTACCAACAGGTAAATTATTATTTGGAGATTAACACCAATGGGATTTGAAATACTCTCTGGCCCCCTTTCCACCACTCTGCCACTCTCAATTTAGAGTGGGATGGGGGTTGTATAGTATTGGGGACTGTTTCATATTTTTGTCTGTTTCACAAAAAGGCAGCATGATGTCATGGATAGAATATTAGGCTTCGAGTTAGGGTGTCCTCGGTTCAAATCTCACCTTGGGAACATTCACTAGCTGTGTGATCTTGGACAAGTCATTTGAGATCTATGTACTGTAAATGACTCCTTAGGACTTCTAAAGTAGATGGATTGTAATAAGCATTGATAGAGGGCTGCTGATGAAATCATGGATCCTTCATATATCTGTAGCACCCAACTGGCCTTTACATCAAGTCAGGCTCTGGGGAAAGACTTCTGTGAAGGGAGAGAAAGAAGAAAGAAAAATGGTCAGTTTAAAGTTCAGCCTCGCTAAACCTTCCCATATTTCCCAGAAGAAATACTACCAGAAAAAAGCATCCTTTCAACTAGTTGCCCAGTACTAGAAATTTCATGACAGTCCCCACCTTCACAGAGTCTCTTGAGTAAGCAGTCAGAGCTGCTCTCCAGGGGCAAGCAGGAAAGGGAACTGAATCTCTATGCACAAGACAACCATAAAAAATAAACTTGGCCTAAGTATTTTTTTCAGCCAAAATGAATTTATAGGTCACTCATGCTGTTTGCAAGGCCCTCCGGCTATGAAGCGAGCAATGAGATACGTCTAGATACTCCAGCTTTTATCCAAGGGAGACATACCATAGCTAGGCTGGCCCTTCATCACCTCTCCTGTGTGATTTCTTAACAGATTCATGCAGTGAGATTATACTAATGCTATGGGGCATGAAGGGAATTGAAGAAAACAACACAGCTTTGCATAGATTTCTCTCCTCTCCAAACTCCTTTCCCAGTGGCTTTACAAGGTACATCTTCTGATATAAAACAATCTGCCTGGAAAATAAGACAAACCCCATCCTGACTGTTTGGGAGGCATGCCGGTTACATCTTTTACACAAATTTCCTCCAAAGACATTATGAAAGCTTTACTTATTTATACCATACAGTCCTATCTGTACAAACAGTAAATTAGACTCCCCTTCTAAACGAGAGTTTCAGCTACAGAAAGTATTTAAATAGAGTCTGAAGCATGTTCACTAACAGGCAAAGTCCCAAAGGTGGTAGAATTGTCAGAATGATGAAGTGCTTTTATCCCAGTGTAGTTTTATAGGCACAACCCTCATACACTACATTTTTTGAGAGGGAAGGTGAAAGATTCTCACTTAACAAAATCTACAACAGGGATTTAGTTCAGTCAGGAGGAAAAATAAAGTCCTGTCTGCAAGAATTTATTCAGTTCCTGGGTGAACTTAAGCTAGCTCCACCCCTAGAGGTCTTTGGGTTAGATCCAGGTGGTCCTTGAAGGAAAAGGACTTTATCTTTTGTGTCCTCTGCAGCCCAGGCAGGCATCTTCCCACAAGGGACCCTGCCTCTGGACTCACTCCAGAATGAGCTCACTTCTTGGGGACCCTGACCCCAGAAAGAGGGGAAAAGGTATTTCTTGCACTTTCCGGCTCATTTTCCTCCCATCCTAGAGTTCTAGGAAAAATCTCTAAAATGAAGGTTAAGTATGACTGAAGAATACTTTTATTCAAGAAGGATTCATAGGGTCCATTCTAGAATGGCACTTACCATACAAAAAAAGTAGTAGATATCAGGTATAGGACAGCTATTTGTTTCCTTACCACAAAAGGAATGATTTATAACAAAAGACTCATAAATGGGCATTAATAAGTACTTAAAACATGAGTTTTGAGATCACTTTGACAGCTGAGTAGAGGATGGACTGAAATGGGAAGAGTCTTGAGGATAGGAAACCAATCAGTAGACAGTGTGAGGTGATGAAGGCCTACACTAGGGTGGTCACAGTATCCAAGAGTGAGAAATAAGTCATTAGGGCTATAGGGCAGAGCCACTTGAAAGCATAAAGTTACCAATTCAACGTCTTACTAGATGTAAGGACAAAATTCCTGGTAAGACGGAAGTTTCTGAATTGTAAAACTCGATTTAAAAAGCAGTCCCAAATCCCCCAGTTCAACCCCCTTATTTTAGAGAGGTGGGAACTGGGACTTAGTTCAGTGCCTAGCAAACAGTAGGCATTTAATAAATACTTGCTGACTGACTGAGAGGTGAAAGCATCCCTAAGGTCACACAACCATGTATTTGTGAGGAAAGAACAGCTACTTTTTTTTTCAATGTGTACAAACCAATAGAAAATGACGTTGATATGTTATATGAACATAGGCCTGAAAGGGACCTTAGGGATCTAGGCCAGTCACTTTCATTTTTCAGTAGAGGAAATGTAGACCCAACAAAGTTAAGTGTATTGTTCAAGGTTATACAAGTAATAAGTATCAGAGGTGGAATTTGAATTTGGATCCTGTGACTCCAGAGTCCATTTTTTCCCCACCATACTACAGCAATTCCTCATGAAACCATGGAGGGATAAATGATCTTGATGACATCATTGGGAGAGGCATAGTCCTGGAGATAAGTTTCTTGCTGCTGGCCAATGATGTGAAAAGTTAATATATACCTCTGAGAGGCTAAACATTTCACTTTTTACCAGAACGTGCAGAGAAAAAAGCCCAGCATCTCTTTTTTAACAAAGCACACTCATTTACATTTATGTTCTGTTCATTACAAGTAGTTAGTAACTTTAAGAGCTCACCCATTTATCTTTCTAGGTTTCATTAAATCCTGTTGTCTCCAAGATTGGGAGAATTGTTTTAAGACATCAGCATCCAAGCGAAACCCAATGTGATTGCTGGTTTTTTAATGTGTGATATCAGTAGCCTCTCTCTGGCATTGCTGAATAGTTGGAGACTCTAAAGTTGCGCCCCAAAGGCCTTTGTTGGAATCTTCCCCTATAACGTATAAGAAAAGTGAACTCTGTAACAGCCTACCGTTTGCTTCTGTTTAGCAATGAAGGTCATCTAGTGCCATGTATCTAACCATGCTTTTTTTTTTTCTTTCCAGGCAATCTCCCAAGAAGAAGGATGGCCAGTGCCTTCTCTCGGTTTCTAACTGGTCGAAGCGCCTCCCTGCTCTTAGCTACTGTTGGCACTGGTGCCTTAACTGGTAGCTACCTGCTGAATCAGCAGAGTGTGAGCGCTCATGCTCAGGAAAGGACCCGGCTCTTTCCTGCAAGGTAAGTCCCCCTGCCTTAAAAATAATTCTAGTTGAGAGTCGGTGACTTGCTTCCTCAGTGCCAGAAATCTGGGGAGAGTGTTTTACAGGAATGAGAATCCCCGGTTTTGCCCTGCTCTTAAAGATGATCAGCTAACATCCCAGTGCCTACCGGGTGGAAGGCACTCCCGGCCAGTCTCACTGAGGACACAAAGAAACTTAAAAACATGCTCTCCGTACTCTAAGTATATAATCTAGTCAGATTATAAATCTCCAGATTGGAGTACATTAAAGATGGGAAGCAGTGGTGCCAGACAATCTTTTCTTGACAAGGATATCACAAAATCATAGCCTTTCAAAGTTGGAAAAGACTTCAATACCCAACCCAGCTCGGTGTTTTTAACCTGGGGCAGCTATGAACTCAAAAAAAATCAATAAGTGCATTTCAATATAATCTGTTTCCTTTGTAATCATATGTATTTTATTTTATGTATTTAACATTATTCTGAGAAGGGGTCCATGGGATTCACCATATTGCCGAAGGGGTCCAAGACACAAAGAAGTTTAAGAAGACCCTTTTCAGTCTAATCCATCTACCTGAAAAATATCATCTTAAATATAGATCCTGCTAGACTGTAAATTCAAAGGCAGGAACTGTTTCCCTTTTGCCTTTGTGTCTCCAGCACTTAGCATAGTGTCCAGCAGACAGTAGGTGCTTAATTAATGCTTGTTGATAATGAACACTCAACAAGTGGTAATCCAACCTTTACTTAAAGATGCCCAATGAGGAGGTATCATCTCAAGGCAGTTCATTCCACTTTTGTACAATTCTAATTTGGGGAGGAGTTTTTCCTTACATCAAGCCTAAATATGCCTCTTTTCAGTTTTTACCCACTGTCCCTTGCCCTGCCCTCAGCAGGCAAGCAGAACAAATTCAATCCCATGTCAACCTGAAATAAAGAGAAGTACAGAAGTAACAACAAGAAGGGTCTTTAACTGAGGCAAAGGAATTGTAATTCAGAGCACCACGCAGCACTGGAGTAGAGGAGTGCCCACAAGGGGCAAAGAGGGTAACGGGGGCAGGGTTTTAATACACTTCAGCAGGGATGTGTACTTGGGAGGGACAGTGACAGGGAGAGTTAAGTTGTTTCACAAAATAACTGAAGGCTGGGGAGGCTGAGGAGTGGTAACATCTGGTCAGAGCAGAGGGCTCCAGGTTTTTGTTCTTTCGTCTTTTTTTCTTTTTTTTTTAGCTGGTTTGGACCAGCTCAGAGCGTCCTCAGGCACTTTGGTGATTCTGGGGTCAAGGCCAGGTCAGCTCATAGCTAGCTGCCTTCAACATCCTTTTCCATGTGAGAATCCTTCCAGTACTTAAAGATGAGTCAGGGCAACACTAGAGAGATAGTCTACCTGAATTTCAGCAAAGCATTGGACGGAGTCTCTCCCAAAACAACCAGAAGGAGAGATGTGGGCTACATAAGGTTTAATGACTTGGGCTGCTAGGTTGCACAGTGGATAGAGCACTGGGTCGATCTTAGTTCAAAATAGACCTCACATACATACTAGCTGTATCACCTTGGGCAAGTCATTTAACTTCTGTCTGCCTCAGTTTAAAATGAAATTTTATCATATGATAAAATATCACCTGTAGAAAGGGCATATGAATAGTACCTACCTCCCAGAGTTGATGTGAGGCTCAAATGGGATAATGTGAAGCACTGATGATGATGATGACAACTAGACTAGTGGGCTTAAGGAGGGTGGCTTCTAGTGAAGGGCCCCATAGATCACTCTTTGGTCTTGTTCTCTTCAACATTTTTTGTGAATGATTTGTGTAAAGTCACAACTGGGACGCTTATCCAGTGTGCAGATTATGTGAGGGTAGGAGGGACAGATGACAGATACACTGGGTGACTGAATTAGGATCCAAAGAGATTTCAATGGGCTGAAATGATAGGCCAAATGTGAAAAGATGATTTTTAACAGGGGCAAATGTAATATCACATTTGAGCTCAAAAAATCAATTGCGTGGGTACATGACGAGGATGCGGCTACTACAAAACTGTTCCTGTGAAAAGAATTTGGAGCTTTTAGTGGGCTGAAAGATCAACTGAGTCAGTAATGTGACATGGCAGCCAAAAACCCCAAAACTGTCAGGCTTCACTAACAGAAGCACAGGGTTCAAGATGAAGGGACAGGCCCCACTGTAGCAGGCTCTGGTCAGGCCACATAGGAAGCATTGTGCTCGGTTCTGGAGGCCACATGTACAAACAAGGACATACAGAGGAGAGAAGCAGAATGGCGGGCAAACTTGGAATAGGAGCTATGAATGTTAGTTGAAGGAAGAAGAGAAAAGAAAACTGAAGTAAGATGTGATAGCTATCTTTAAGTATCTTTACTTAAAAGTTATGACTATCGTGCATAATCTAGTTAGGTTATAAATCTCAGTATTAGAGTAGACAGGAAGCAGACAGGAAGCAGTTATGCCAGATGATTTTTTTTTTTTGACAGGCATATCACAGAACCTTGGCACTGGGTTTTTAGTTTCTAGTTTTTTGTTTTTTTTGTTTTGTTTTTCTGGGCTAAACCAAGAGAACTGAACTAAAATTAGTTGGAAGTTGCAAACATTTTCTAGCTGTATGGCCCTGGGCAAGTCATTAACCTCTGCCTATCTCAGTTTCCTCATCTATAAAATGGGAATGATATAGCCCCTAGGGTTGTTGTGAGGATCAAATGAGATAATATGTATCAAATGATATGCAAACCTTAAAGCACTATATTAAAAATTATTATGTAATAATTTAACAAATTAATACATTAACAATTTAATTGTTTAACAATTTTATAAATACTATTATCATTTGATGTTGTTGTCATCATTATCATGATTACTGCTATTCTTAGATAATTGGAAGGGACCTCAGAGGCCAATCAAGTCTAATGCCTTCATTTTATAAATCAAAAAACCAAGGCCCAAAGATGTTAAATGAATTAACCAAAGTCACACAGGGAGTGTCATAAATAAGACTGGAACCTGGGTGTTTTGACTTTAGAGCTTGTGGTCTTTCCACTATACCACACTGCCTCTCAGTGTGTTATAAGTACAATTATTCCTGGATCAAAACTCAGGCAACCTGGGACCAAATTCCATCAGGCTATAACTGCCCTGAAAAAAAAATATATATATGTATATATTTATATATGTATATGTAGGTGTAGGTATATATATATGCATATATGTACGTGTAGGTATATATATGCATATATGTGTGTGTAGGTATGTGTGTATATGCATATGTATGTGTGTAGGTATATATGTATATGCATATATATGTATGTGTGGATATATGTGAATGTGCATATATATGTATGTGTAGGTATATATGTATATGCATATACACAGTGTTGGTTGGTGATCAAATGAGATTATACATGCAATATATTTTATACAATGTTCTAGCTATTGCTGGAACTTTAACATTTTTTAAAGACAAGATTAAAAAATGACCTATAGTGTTAATTTAATTTTTTGGTCTGTCCTCTCCTGTTTTTTCTTTATTAGCCATATCTTTAGGGCTATGGCAGACAGCTCACAATAATGAGTTTCCTCAAGCAGAAACATCACTTTCTTTCCATGATAAATAGTACATTTGAGCTACTTATGTTTTTAACTTTGGCTCCTGAATTCATTTTTTTTTTCCCTGAGCAGCCAAATGTTCCCCTTATTTTCTGTGGATGCTGTTTCTGATGCATAGTAGGAAAATGGGTAATGGGTAAAAGCCTATTCCATCTCCCAATACCTCTCCCTCCCATTCCCCCACCCCCACCCCCATCCCTAACCCTTTTCTTATTTGTGAGTTACCCAAGCCAGGAAATGGTTCCCAAAATGCATCCCCACCGAACGCTTGTGTTTTCCTCTTCGTACAGCGCTGACTATCCTGACCTACGCAAGCATAACAACTGCATGGCTGAGTGTCTCACCCCAGCCATCTATGCTAGGCTGCGGGACAAGATGACACCCAACGGCTACACCCTGGACCAGTGTATCCAGACTGGTGTGGACAACCCTGGCCATCCCTTCATTAAAACTGTAGGCATGGTGGCTGGCGATGAGGAGTCTTATGAGGTAAAGCTGTTGGTTTCTTATCTCGAGGGGCTCCTAAGGGCTCAGCTGTCATTCTACTTGAAGGCAGATTAAAAGGGTGCATTTGGATCCCACAGCACCAGGGAGGGTCCTTAGGATGATTTGGGCAAATAATTCTAGTTTCCATTTACTTTTCAAAGGGATGAACTGTGCGCAACTATATTCTGGAAGATGTAATCTACAGTTCCCACGGTTTGTATTTCATTTGCTGAAGAAAGAACAGTATTCCTCCTGCTGAGAAATATATTCCGTGGCTAAGTGGTGTGATTTTGTCAATTCAATTCAGCTAACATTTATTTGGCACCTGTCTGGTCCCTAGAGATATAAAAATGAAATAAGACAGAGACATATTCCCCAAGGAGCTCACAATCTAATAAGGGACATAAAAATGTATGCCAAAACCTGTAATATAAGTCAGAATGTGAACAGTGAAAAGGAAAGGCTCAGACAAAGTGTTAATGAGATATCTGAGGAGGAATAGATAGATCACTTTTAGCAGGATAACCAGAGAATGCTTCATGGAGGAAATGGTACCTGAGTTGGGCCTTGAAGAAAACGAGGGATTTTAAGGAAGGAAGTGGGGAAGACAGTGGAGTCCATTCTAGACATTAAGGGATATTTTGAGCAAAGCCTTTCGTGACTAGAAAGAGCAGAACAAGGATAAGGACCTTGAGTAGTCCAACTTGGCTGGAAATAGCCATGTAAAAGAGAAATAGTATGAAACAAGATTAGAAAAGTGTTTGTGAATAAAGATTATTGAGCTCCCTGAATGCCAGAATAAGGACTTTAAACTTTGTTGCGCAGGCAGTGTTTGAGACACCGAAGTATTATATTAGGAAGCTTATCTGGGTGTGAAGTGATTGCAAAAGCGATAGACTTGGGGCAGGAAGGCTAATTATATTAATTATATTAATCCAGGTGAGATATTATGATAAGGCTTGAACTAGGATGATTGTAGTGGGAATTAAGAGATTAAGTTAAGGGATGGATAGAAGAGATAATGTGAAAGTGGAATTGACAATCAACTGATTGTATAGGAGTGAGGCAGAGAGAGAGAGAGAGAGAGATTGTAAACTTCTAGTGGGTAGGGACTGTCCTTTGCCTCTTTTTGTATTCCTAGCACTTAGCACAGTGTCTGGCACATAGTTTGTACTTAATAATGTTTGTTGACTGTAATAGATAGATAGATCATTATTAAAATGCTTACTTTGTGACAGGTGCTATACTAAGCACAGGAGATACAAATATAGACAGCAGGACAGTCCTTGCCCTCAAGGAACTTACATTCTAAGGGGAGAAGACAATGTATGAAGGGGTAATGGAGAGAAAAGGGGGTGCTGGCATGATGTGGAGATGACTGGGAAGTGGTTGGTGAGGAAAGCCTGGTCTCAGCAAGATAAGGCATCTCTCAGAGCTGAGGGACCCAGGGTCAAAGTCCAAGGTTCTGATGGGTGGGAGATGAGAAGGCTGAGAGAGAAGAGTCAAGGTTGATCCTGAGGCACTGAGTTTGAGGAAATGAAAGAACGGTGGTGTCATCACCAGAAGTAGAGGAGTAAGGGAGAGAAAAGTGTTCAAGAAGAAAGACTATGTTAAGTGTTCAATATGATGAATTTAAGGTTTGGGAGGGACTTGTGAGTAGAGCTATCCACTAGATGATTGGAAATGGAGGACTAGATCTCAAGGATGAGTAAGATATTGGTTATAGAGATTGGGGAGTAATTTTCTGAGATTTTTACTAAAGTCATGGAAGAGGATGATATCGGCAAGAGGAAGAGAAAAAGAAAGAAAACAAGGGGGCAGGAGAGAACCTTGGGAAATAGCTATGCTAAGGAGTGATGAGAAAAATAGGAGAACCATAACAATACAAGATCATGAAAGTAACAAGAAGAGAGACTATCAAGAAAGAGGAGGTGGCCAACAGTGTTAAATGATGCAAAGAGGTCAAGGAGAGTGAAGACTGAATATAGGTCATTGGATTTGTTGAGTAGAACATCCTTGGTGACCCTTCATGAGGACAGAAACTGGACTGTAGGGACCTAAGGAATAAATGTGTGATGAGGCAGTGGAGGCAAATGTAGGTGACTCTTCCTAGAAAAGAAAACCACCATCTATTTTCTTCCTATCAATCGCTCTTCCTTCCTTCCTTTTCCCTTCCTTCCTTCCTTCTTTGCTTCCTTCTTTCCCTCCTTGCCTCCTTCCCTCCTCCCTTCCTCCTTCCTGTCCTCCTTTCCACCCTCTTCCTCTGGCCACATAGGGAATCATATCTTTATTAAGGGTACTGTGACCAAAGGAATATAAATTTTGATTGCAGAAACCTTAAAAGATATCTTGGGGTTTACAGGCTAGATTTCTTTTCTTTTCTTTGTTTTCTTGTTCTTTTCTTTTGTTTGTTTGCTTTTTTTTAAGATCATGCCTTCAAACCAAATCACGCTGGCTCTCACTGATTGGACAACAGTAGGTCCCAGCCCAAGCCTCATTTGATCATTGTTTTGGTTTTAATGGCTGAGAGTAAGTGTAAATAGCAATTGTTTCTGTTTTGGCCAGAAACCCTGAGGGTCTTCCCCTCCCAGATTGATTTTTTTTTTTTACTATATAAAAGAGGACATTTTTTTTTGCCTCATTTCATACTTAGCCTTAATTACTGAATGGTCATTGCCTCAGACAGACTGAGACCTGGGAAAGACCTTAGTTTAAAAAGGACAAAGTCTCCCACTGAATCCAGGGGCATCTCCAGTCTTCCTGATCTATGCCTTGCTACTGGACCCAGATGGCTCCAGAGGAAAGAGTGAGGCTGGTGACTTTGCATAGCCCTGCGTCACTTAAATCCAGTTTACTTGCAAGTCATGGCAAAACCTTCCTGATATCATTGGTTGTTTTCAAGAGTGAAGGACGAATAACAACATCGATAGCCTAGGAATTCAAGGGAGGAAAGGGACCTTCATAAATGGAGGCTCTAGCTTGTGTCAGCCTCTGGGTAAAAGGAGAAAGGAAAAATGATTGTTAAGCTGTTGTACTTTCCCCTCTACAGGTTTTTGCAGAGCTTTTTGACCCAGTCATTAAGCTAAGGCACAATGGCTATGACCCAACAGTGATGAAGCACCATACTGACCTGGATGCATCCAAGGTATGTCCAGCCCAGCACCTGCCCCCATGGTTCACTTTCCCACAATGTAGCTGAGCTGAGTTGAAGGCTTTTTTGGGAGGTTGTTTGTTTGTTTGTTTTTTTATCATGCGTATTCTTACAGAGGGACCTGAAGAGATACAAAAATCCCTAGACTTTAATGCCATTTAATGGGTCTGGATCAAGCCTAGGCCCATGTTCCATACAATCTGTCAGTCAATCAACAAGCATTTAAGTGCTTACTATGTGCCAGGCAGTGTGTTAAGTACTGGAAATACAAAGGAAGACAACCCCCTTTCATATCTTCGAGAGTGGCACCAGGGAACATGTTTGTAAGTCTTCCTTGAGGCTGTGGTATCAGAGAAAAAGTATGAGATTAATATGGAGAAGATCTCGTGTGAGTCCTTACTTCTGCCACTTCCTTGCTATATACTCCTGACCTAGTTATGAGCATGGCCTCATGGGTAAGGTGCTGGATGGGTTTGGAGCCGAGATCTAGGTGTAAATTCTGCTTCAGGTATTTACCAGCTGTGAGATTTAGGACAAGTCCTTAACTTCTTTGAGTCTCAATTTTCCCCTTTATAAAATGAGGATAGTTAATCTCGGGATCATTGTAAGGTTCAAATGAGATAATGCATTAACACATTTTGCAAATCTTAAAGCACTGTATAAAATTGTAAAATTATCATTACCTCTCTTGACTTCAGTGCTTTTATCTGTAAAACGGGGGAAATAATAAATGCCCTATCTACCTCCCAGAGTGGTTGTGAGGCTCAAGGAAGATGTACATGAAAACAGTTTCAAATGGTAAAGCTCTATGGACATGGATTCCAAACATTTATATTTAGGATATCTTTATTTAGGAATATATTTATTTTATATATAAATATAATGTACTTATACTTAGGATATAGCTTTAGTTTTCTCATGTATTAGTCAATTTATCTAAACCTTTTATAAAACTATTTACAAAGGCTTTACTAGTCCTAATAATTTCCATTAATTTCCTATTCATTGTTTAAAGCATTTTGAACCTTTTTTTGTATCTTTATTGCTTAGCACAGTATCTGGCAGCCATTTGACTGACCAAAGCAGTAATCAGAGAGAAGGATGATGGGAAAGAACGTGGGTTGATCACGTGGCAAAAGTGAGGAATAGTCAAAGGTGGGGGAGGGAATAAGTAGTTATCTAGTACCTACTGAGTGCCAGGCATCATCCTAGGTGCTTTGCAAATAAGTCATTTGATCCTCACAACAATCCTTAGAGTAGGTGCTGTTATTATTCCCATTTTACAGTTGAGAAAACAGAGGCAAAGAGAAGTTAAATGACTTTTCCAGGATCGTACACCCAGAAAATGTCTGAGACTGGATTTGAACTCAGGTCTTCTGCCCAGGGCTCTATCCACTATCCCACCTAGCTGTCTCAGTCAGTCCATGTGATCCAATGGTATCCACATAATATTAGAAGAACTAGAAGGCCCTTAGTATGTTGAGTGGACCCCTTATGAGTATTTACAGAAGGACATGGCCAAAAATCACTGAAAATGAGATAAGTGGATGATTCGTGATCTCCGTTAGTTGAGGAAGTGGCCGTGTTGACAAGATCTCAGGTCCATTGAAGTTCAAAGGACTTGCATGTTGTCACAAATGTGCCGCTCAGACCTCAAAGGCTGTCCCAGTGTGCTAGTATTCTAAGAGTTTTTGAACAAACTCATTCATCAAATCGATCCAACAATCCAATGTTACGGTACCCAAGGGATGCTGGCTGTGGCCCATGATTCATGGGAAGAGTGTACAGTTGAGCAAAGCAACAGCTGCACCCTTTGAATGGGAGGCAGGGGCAGGATGGGAAAATCTAACATAAGACTGTACTGAGCACTCTGGGGTCTGTGAGCTGTGGTGCGTGGGAGACATTGCATTTCCTCTGTTTAGATCACCCAGGGGCAGTTTGACGAGCACTACGTTCTGTCATCCCGAGTCCGCACAGGACGCAGTATCCGTGGACTTAGCCTGCCTCCAGCCTGCTCCCGGGCGGAGAGGAGAGAGGTAGAGAGTGTCGCTATCGCCGCCCTGGAAGGGCTCAAGGGAGACCTGGCTGGGAAGTACTACAAGCTGACTGAAATGACTGAGCAGGAACAGCAACAGCTCATTGATGTGAGTAACCCAGGGTAGGGGTGTAGGAGGTGGAGATTTTATACATTTGATGTCTTTGTAATTCACCATCTCTCCTTCCTGTAGCTTTTCTGGTACCCAGATAGTCCTGTTCAAAACTGAGGGAGGTTGCCAATCCACCCCAGAGAGAGATAATCAGAAGGCAGAATTACCACTGCTTTGTTCTCAGAATAAAAATAAAATAAAGACTCTGAACACTTAAATATTTCTCATAAATCTTAAGTATGTTGAGTTTAGAGAAAGGAGTAAAGGTATGGTTTTACATCCCAACTGCCCAGAGATGAAAATGTATTAATGGACAAGTATCCTTCAAGGATTCGTGATTTGGCCCATGAGGGTATGTATTCCTTTCGCCTAAGCAGATTGCAACTCTGCACTATCTTTTCAGACAGTCTTCGTGAGATGTGTGGTTGAAAAACTTGTTCTGACATGAACCATTTGGTGAGGACCCTCTCCAAATGCCGACTGGTCTTGACAGCAGACATACAGACTATCACCAAGCTTCTACTCACAAATTTTTAGCTTGATAGGACCTGACAAAGTTATTTTCTGCAAGTACCACTTTGGAGAGCCCAGGATCACTTCTATGTTGTGATGAGGCATTGGAGTTGGACTTTAGTGGAGGAAACTGATTAATGACAAGATCTTAATGACCAATAGGAGCTCAAGGAAGCAGTCTTCAAAATTTTGGATTATGCACCCTTAGCAATAAAACATTTTTGAAATTTCCTCCCAATAAATGTATATTTATTTATAAATTACTATCATAATAAGTCTGTATATTATAAAATTTCTATACAAAAATAGAAATTTTGAAAGGAGATAAAAGTAAAATACCACGTGAACTGAGAGTTATTCAGTAAGAAACCACTGAAGTTTAGTGAGAAGTGGAGAGACATGAGCAGACTTGTGTTTGAGGAGAATCTGGAGGAAGGATTGGAGAGAAGGGGGATTTGAAGCAAAGAGACCATTTCAAAGGCTATTGTAAAACTCCAGCAGAGAGGAAATTAGAGCTTGAGCTAGGGTGGTGGTGGTGACTGTGTGGATAAAGAGAAAGGGACAGATACAAGAAATGAGGAGGTAGAAATAACGAGATTTGGCAATTGACTGTGTGGAGCGAGGGAAAATGAGTCAAAGATGATGCTGAAGTTGTGAACTGGGTGGCTAGAAGAGTGGTGGTGCTTTTGATACTGATAGCAAGGTTTGGTGAGGGTTAGGTTTGGAATGAAAGATGGCATCGTGAGATTCTGAAGTCTGTCACAATCCAGTCATATCTGATTATCCTCTGATCCAAACAAAATGAAAATGGGGGAGGCAGGGCTCTTATTCTCTGATCACTGGCCCATTCTTCAAGGGGCTTCTACCAGAGCCACAAGGTGATCTGTGAAGCAAGGATGTGGGTACGCTGGGGGAAGGGACTGGAACTTTCCAATGGTACCTGCATAGTTGCTGCTGAGGGTGCCTGGTAGGGGTTAGATTAGAAGTGCTCTGAGCAATTGCTGTGAGACTCAGAAAGACGGAGTTTAGGAGATTCCACTGTGGCAGGGGTGAGTTAGGGGATAAGGATAGTGAAGCTGTATTGGAGACAAGCCCCATGATTGGGTATAATGGGAAAGGTAGGATGTGACTCATCTTCTCACCCTCTAAATCATTGTTTGTTGTGGGTCAGGCCTCTTGGGGTAAGTCATGGCCACTAGGAGGCCCCAACCCCCACTCTGGAGACCAGCAGCTTAAGGTATTAAGGTTTTTGTTTTTGTTTTTGTTTTTTTAACTGGGGTTTGGATTTCAGGATCATGACCTTAAGTTGAGAAATGAAAAATTCCTGGAAAGGATTGGCATGTACCTAACAAGGGCTGGAACAGCAATAATAGATAGGCACCACAGAATACACACCACAGACATCAGGCAACTTCCCTGGGAGAGAAGATGGTTGTTCAGTGCAGGGTTCATCTATGGCATTTAGAGCCTCCATCCTGCCCCCAGCAGTTACGGGATCTTCTGAAACATTCTCTCCTGACAATAAAGGATCTTGTTCCAATACTGTCCCAGTTTGTGCCTTGTAAGGAGATGTTTCCCTTTAGAATTCCCCCTACTCTTTCTTCCCTCACCAAGAAGTATCCCTCTCTCCCAACTTTCTGCCCCACCACCTTAGAAAGAGCACGGAAAGGTATGTTCATTGTTCTGATCTGGACATATAAGAAACATAGCCAATTGGAGCTCACATGAACAATTTAATCATTCAGCAGGGGCCAGGCCAGGATGAGAACATGGAACTGCTTCCTCAAGTTAATAAAGGCTTTCATGAAACCATCCCCCAAAAAAAGATGAAAGAAATCTAATCAATGTCCTATAAGAAAATCTGAGGAAGGAGAGAAAAATTTCAACTGGGTTGGGGAGACAGTGTGGGGAGATAGGAAAGGCTTCCTGAAGGAAATGACATGACTTCGGAAAAAGAGAAAGATTTCAATAGGTGGAGACCTGGAAAGAAGGAATGTTAGGTATGAGCAGCTTATGGGACTGTACAAAGGTAAAGACCATTTTGGAGTTTATGTGAGATGAAAGTTAAGCAAAGGAGTGACATAGGTCAGACCTGTGTGTATAGAGGATTATTTTGGCAGCTGTGTGCAGAATGATTAGAGAGAGACTGGAGGTAATTAGGAGGTTACTACAATAGTCCATGCAAGCAATAATAGTCTGAGCTTGGCTGTTGGTAGGAGATGGGTATAAGAGATGTCATGGGGGCAAAACGGACAACTGGCAACTTATTGATCATAGAGAGTGAGGAAGAAGAAAGAGTAAAAGATAGCTCTAGGGCTTGGAGGCTAGGTGACTATAAGGAAACAAGAATAGGAAATATGGAATTGGTTTTATACACGTTGAGTTTGAGGTATCCAAAGGACATTTGGGCCAGATGTTCACTAGGCAGTTGGAAATTGGGGAAAAGATCTGAAAAGAGATTAGTCTGGTTCCCAAAGTGGGCAAGACTGCCCCGTGGGGGGAGCTGGAACAATCAGGGTGGGGGGTAGGAGGGAAGGGGGTAGTAATGGCCTCGGGTGCAATTGGGGAGCATTGAATAAAAATAAGGGGGCAGTGGAAGCATAAGGAAAGAAGAGAAGATAAGAAAATTTTGAAAAACTATTTGTACGTGTTTCATCTGTTGTGTAACAGAGTTAAAGTCATAGTGATTACATTATTTTCCAAATAAATACACAAAATGCAAGTTGTAACCAATCAGTGGTCAAGTCTGCCAACAGGTCTTAACAAGCAAGTGTTGGCGGGTGAGTGTGTTGCACATTGTTGGGAAGTCCAGTATGCGTTGGTAGGAATATGTGCATGTAATTACTTGTTTTCAATGTGATGCTATATAGTTACATGAAGCAATATTGCATCATCAAAATTTCAATGGGGAAAAAACAAATTTACAATAAATTATTAAATTTAAGGTGCATCATTTAAAAATATATTTTATATTTTTTGAAATGATGCAATTAAAAAAACATTAAAGGGTTAAAGATTTCCAGGGAGGTACTGAGTAATTTTTTTTTTTTTTTTTTTTTTTTAGAAAAGGGGTTGGTAGGCCAAATAATTTGGGAGCCTCTGGCCTGGATGAATAAATTTGAAAGTCATCTGCATAGAAGTGATATAGGAAGCTATGGGAGTGAATGAGATTGCCAAGGGAAAATAGAGATAAAGGAGGAGGCTGAGGACTGAGATTCTGAGAACACATTTAGAGGTTGGAAGGAGGAAGATGAACTAGTGATGAATCTTTCATCTTTCAGATCTGAGAAACTGGAAGGAAATAGCATTTTATGCCCTGCTTATTCTCAACAATCTTTCTCTCTCATGTACATTTTGGCTTGCAGGATCACTTTCTATTCGATAAGCCAGTATCTCCATTGCTAACATGTGCAGGGATGGCCCGAGACTGGCCAGATGCCAGGGGAATCTGGTACGGCACATACTATATTAAATACATGTGCTTTATGTGTGAAGGATCTTTTAATAGATCACCTGGCTTATCCTAACCTTGCAACTGTTGTGCTCTGCAGTTTATGGCATGCTCAGCTTCAGCTAAATTGAGAAAACAGATTTTGATGTGCGTTTGTAAGTATTGTGATGGTTCCATGAATTGAAAGAAGTTGAACTGGTTTGCATGTATTCTGCATGAGAAACATTGCTGCAAAAATTGAGGCAAAAAAAAAATTGGTTTTCCAGGTGTGGAGGCACCTACTTTATGGCACTTTACTCCCTTTGAGTCATTTTCATGGAATGTGTCTAAGCAAGAATGAAAAGCAATGGAGAACGTTCAGATTACTACCAATAAGTTTGCCCTAAAGTGAAGCAAAAAGCTCTGATAAAGCTCACCCTAAAAGAAGTGGCTACCAAACTTGCAACCATTTTTATCTTGGCTAACTGCCAGTTTTCTTCCTTAAGTGTCTAATTTGATTCAGTCACCCTGGTCTGTTACCAGCCCTTTATAAATGAAGGAACCCAGGTAGGAAAGCACAGAGCCCACATTAAGCAAAGCAGGTACCAGGTAACACAAATGTGTGAAATTTGTGGGTTTTTGTTTTTGTGTGTTTTGGTTTTTTTTTGGTATGCTGAACATTCTGAGATTCAGGGAGAATTTTTTTTTTTTTCAGAAATTTTCACTTTCTTTCACCTTATTCTCTTAGCAGCACAAGGGTTTAGTAACTAAACTTTAGTTTGATTTGCTAGAATACTTACTGTCATTTCTAGTGCAGCTGCAAACAGGTGTGCCCCAGTCAAATTATGGTCGTCCTGTTCTGAGGAGATGGGAGGGATGTTCCCGGGGGCAAAGGAGGGAAATCATGAAGGGCTTCATTCAATAGCTCTTATCCTTCACCCTGTCAAGGGAACATTATTTTGTTCTACTTATGCAGGCATAATCAAGAAAGATTAGGGCCTTCCAGGAAAGGGGGAAGTTTAAAGGAAGCAATCAACTTGTTGAGAAAAACTGGAATTGTTCATAGGTTTGAAATAAAGCAACCCAAGTCTTAAATTTCTTCTTCTTGTCAGGCACAATTATGATAAGACCTTTCTCATCTGGATTAATGAGGAAGATCACACCAGGGTAATCTCTATGGAAAAAGGAGGAAATATGAAGAGAGTATTTGAGCGATTCTGTCGTGGATTAAAAGAGGTAATAATATTATTTTAGGTAATAAGTCTTTAAAATATTACATTTTTAACTTTTCATACTTCTAAGAAGCCTGTGGGAGGCACTGGAGAGACCTGCATGACTGGGCAAACTCCCTCCAGGAAACAAGGAAGGCAAATTCTGTTAGGGTAAGATGGCCTCCTAGGACATCCATCAGCATTAGTGATAGCCTTTTGTTGTTAGGAGGTGGAACTAAGAGGAGATCTTACGAAAGCCCAAGCTCAATTGTTGACCACTCCACTTCCCTTCCCATTCTAGGACAGTGTAGGTGAGCCAATGGTCTACTGGATTTTTTCCTAATTTCCATTTCAGCTAGGTCAACTTAAGTGACATCATAGGATACAATCAATAACTGACCCAACAACTAACTTCTTGTGCTGCCATTAATCCCAGTGGATTTCTTTTTAAAAATCAGTTTTACATTCTGATTCTGATGTTATTAAGTTTAAACATGTAGAACTATAAAATCTTATACTAGACTATAAACTCCATGAGGTTAGGTACTATGTCTCAGATAAACTTTTCGTCTTGCTCAGGGTCCCGGATAATGCTCTGTAAATGGAAGACATGTCATAATTGTGGTTGCACTGAAGGGACTTTAGAGGTCATCTAGTTCAACCTTCCACCCAATAAAGATATCCCTTCGAAAACAGCCCTATCAGAGAAGGTCATTTTGCCTTTGCCTAAATATCTCCAGTTAATGAAGAGCTCATTATTTTGAGATATAGTCCATTAGATTTTGAGGCAACTTCATTCTTAAAAGTTTTTCCATTTATCGAGTTAAAATCAATCTCCCTATAACTTCAACATTTAAATACATGATCTGAGCTTTGGAACAACACAGAATAAACCTACTCTCTTTTCTTCATACTGTTTGAAAGTAGTTACCATATTCCCTTCCTAAGCTTTCTTCTGTTCCCAGGCTAAACATTCTCAGTTCTTTCAACCCTTCAGTTTCATACCACACAGCTTTCAGACCATTCACCATCATGGTTGCCCTCTTCTAGGCACAATTTAGTTTGTCAATAGTTTTCTTAAAACATGATACCCTCTACTGAGCACAATACTCTACATGTAGGCTGGGCAGTATATTGTATAATGGACTTGTTCTTTTGCTTGAGCTAGACCTGGAATTCTAGATATATACAAATATATATACAGAGAGAGAGAGAGAGAGAGAGAGAGAGAGAGAGAGAGAGAGAGAGAGAGAGAGAGAGAGAGTTCTCTCCTTAGAAAGAACTTTATTTTAATATAATTAATTTTCTTTATAATCCTATATATTTTATTTAATGCATTTTAAGACATTATTCTGAGAAGGGGTCTGTAGGTTTCACTAGACTGCTAAAGGGTTCCAAATCATCAAAAAGGTGAAGAGCCACTGAGCTAGACATTATAATCCATTAATGCAGCATTTAGGGTTAATAAACACTTTTTATAGGTAGCTGGATCCCACTGTTAATATATATTAAACTTGTTGTCAGTAATTAGCCTAAGTCTAATATGTATTTTTTCTGATATCATCTGGGGCAACCTTATACAGCACTTTGGTAGATACTTAAAAATGAACCTCACCTTTCCTAACATAGACCATATTGCATCCTTACATTTGTTAATTTTTCTGCTTGTAGGTGGAAAGATTAATCAAAGGTCGAGGCTGGGAGTTCATGTGGAATGAACGCCTAGGGTATGTCCTGACCTGTCCTTCCAACCTTGGAACCGGATTACGAGCTGGTGTCCATGTGAGAATCCCAAAGCTCAGTAAGGTATGTGAATGACTAAGTCAGAGATCTGTCACTGGCATGATCTATTCTTTCGATGGCCTGAGGTGGACAGTAATTTAGAAATAATTTCATTAGTCTCTAAAACTTTTCTTTCTCCATCTCTGACATGGGCATACCACTATAGGTTCAAACATTCTTTAGAGGGTATACCTTCTAAACAACTCACATTCTAATAGGAGGAGACAATATATGCAGCAGGTTTCAGCTGCAAGTTGGATGGAAAGTTTCAGTGGTCCTTAGGGGGTACAATGTAAAAACAGATGCTAATGCATCCTCTTTAGTGGCATATTCACCAGTAGGTTATCTTTCAGTTACTTGACTTGTTATCATATTCATTTGTATCATCTTGAGTTTTTCAATGATATAAAGGTGTGTTTGGATATTTTTTCATTAATTTCAAATTGTGACATCTCTAACTGGTTACCTTCAGCCTCTCCCTCATCTCAGTTTATTAAACTACAGAAAATTCTTTTCCCATAAGCAGTTGCTCATATTCTCTACACATGAAAATGCCCTAATCTCTTAGGTTAAATAACTGTTAAGAGTTATTCCCAATCATCATTCAGAGGAGCAATCCCTATGGAGAAGGGGCTTATCATCCACAGTCCTGGGCTTCTTAAATTTTTTTCCACTTGCGACCCTTTCTGCATTTCAGCAGCTCTCATTGGCACTGTGTGGCCTGAGGGCATGCACAGCAGTAAAGTGTGTATGCTTTGTGCTTAGAACCAAGGCTGCAATGAAGTTGCGCAATGTAACATGGTCAAGTGCCGCCAGAAACACCTCAGATTCAATTTGATTTTTAATTCATTTTTGTTCATTGCACATTCAAAAACCTTTTACTATTGGCAAAATTGTCGTGACCGCATAGAATCGAGACCCACAATTTAAGAAGTACTAATTCCGCACCAAAGGCCACAAACAGGCAGATAAACCTAAGGTCCCAGAGAAAAGCAGCTCTCCCACCCTGTCTCCACACTGGGTATGGTTCCAGCCTGTCCCTCAAGCCATCCTTTAGAGAGGCACCCCTTGGGAAGAAGTGTGCTGAAGCCCCACCTGCTCAGCAGCCATAGCCACTGACGACCTAGAGAAGAAAATTCTCACTACCTAAGTCCTGGGCACTGCCAGATGATTCCAAATAAAATAAGAGATATGGTTTATTAATGGAAATAACACTAAAGAAGATCCATTGCCACCTGTTTTACCACAATACCTTATGGACAATTGGACATTTTTACTGTCTGACTTGCGGCCGAAACCTCATATATATGTTTCCCTCAAACTAGCGCTTGTTACAGAGTTTCGGCTTAATAAATGCTTTCTCATTCATTCATTCATTACTTGTGTGAATAAATTAACTACTCTGCGTTGGTTTATAGAAAATTACTTCCTACTCTAAAAATATGATTATTACTCAACATTGCCTTCTTGGAAAGTGGCATAAAGAGATTTAACTCTTTGCGATTTAAATTAATCAATTGATGAACACATTAAATATGGAGACATCTAGATACCTGGAAAATAAAGGTCTAGGAGCATCTCTTGTTGTTAGCTTTTTCTGGAATCGCTATTCTAACAATAATGAATCTGCCTTGACCCATATACAATTAACCATATGTGATTATCTGTTGGATTAGGATCCCCGTTTTCCTAAGATCCTGGAGAATCTGAGGCTACAGAAGCGTGGAACAGGTGGTGTGGACACTGCAGCGGTTGCAGACGTGTATGATATCTCTAACGTAGATCGCATCGGTCGATCAGAGGTGATTATGTCTCTCTTATTTCCTTTAAGCAAACTATCTGAAAGACTAACTCATAGAAGAAAAAGAGTATAGAGATAAATTACACATTTCCTTCTTGATTATAAAATTAGAGGTCTCTTTGCTATACTTTTTCCCTTCTAGGTCACATTTACCATTTTTGGTAAAGTGTTGAGCAAGCAGCTTTTTCTATGGTGTTCCTCTGACACATGAAAAAAAAATAATGTGAAACTTAAACACAATGTAAAGTGATAATTTACAAAGAAGGAAATTCTCAGTAAAATTATCATTCAACTGTATAAACTAGCAAGCTATTCTAGTAAACCCTGGCAGGAGGAAATTTATTTTGCTAAAGACATGACTATATTTACCACCATGAAGTCAGGGAGCATGTATGCTACCTCAGATTGAGGGAAGGGAAACAAATGAAATATTTTGGTCTTCGTGCCATGAGGAATCATTTTTGTTCATCCAATCTGCCTTCAGGCAAGGCCATTCATAAGCTGTCCCAGAGAGATGAAGTTGTATGTTATTTGTGAGTTGTAGTTGGCATAAAATCTTCTTCCTTTCTTGCTCAGCTAAGATTCCACAATCTCTATCAGCAATATAGCTTATACGGTAACATCAATATTGTTTTAAGAATGTCTTTGGGCAAATAAGCTATTTTGTCTATTATTAATATACAAATGAACTATATAAGACACATGAAGAAAGACACTATCAAAAACTAATAAATAGAAATAAGTATAGAATAATTTTACATATATACCTATTTGTGTCTAATGGTAGTTATCTCTAGGGTGGGGGGAGGAAGGAGGAAAGAAAAAAAGGAAAAAAACTTACATGATAATTTTGTTGTATGTTTGAAAAGAATAGCAAGTTGTGTATAGTAGATTTGGTTACGTGTGCAATCATCTTTTTTATTGTACTATGTTATGGAAAGGCTTGTTTTATTCCATAAATTAAAAATACTTTTAAAAAAGCAATATAGTTTAAAACCTAAAAACATTCACTTTTAGGAAATTCTTCATAATATCTCAGTCAAATCCCTTATGTTTCAACATAATCCCATTTTCTCCAGTTCCTTCTTCAGTAAGTATGGAGAAGAATTTTTTGTGAACCTGAGTATGAGACCCTTTGCTATTCTTGGAAAAATACAACCACACACTTTTTAAGTTTTTTATTTTTTAATATCTCATATTTAATATCCATATCTCACCTAGACTAGAAGTACAGGGCCCAATCCCACTGCTGATCAGCCCCGAGTTCTGTTTCCAACCTGGGCCAACTTGCCTCTCCTTGGGTAACCTGGAGCTCTCCTCAACCCCTCTCTCTCCTCATTGCCAGGGGCTCACCATATTGATTTCAAACTTAATGCAGGAACCCGATTAGCTTAACCCACTACAGCTCCTAATTCCTGAGCTCCAGAAGTCCAGCAGGCTCAGCCTCCCTAGAAGCTGGAGTTACAGGCACGGGCTGCCTTGCCCCACAGAATCATTGACTCTAGAGTAAGAGGGAACCTTAGAGAGCATCTGCTTCAACTCACACATTTTTACTAATAAGGAAACTGAGGTCCAAGGAAGTTATAAAAAAGTCTATTAAGTTACCCTGCAGCAAGCTTTAATTGAATCTAGTATGGTATTGTGGAAAGAGTCCTGGACTAGGAGCCAGGAGAGACCTCTTTTTAATCCTTCTAATCTGACTCTTACTAACTATATGATATGGGAAAGTCACTTAAACTCTCAAAGTCTCTGTTTCATCACCTGTAAAATGAGAATAATAATATCTATAGTCCATATTTCACAGGAGTGTTTCAAGGATCAAAAGAGATTATATGTATTATATATATATAATATTATATATAATATATATACATATATAGTGCAAACATTTAAATGTTTTATGTCTGTTGTTGTTATTATTATTCTTACATTCTCTCCAATAAGCATAAACTATGTGAAACTAATTTCTTGAAGTACGAAAGAAAGGCCATGACCCAAGAAATTAATATATAATAATGAAATCTAATATGTAAATAATAGCCATAGTAGCTAGCATTTATATAATATCTTAAAGTTATATATGTATGTGTATAATATGCATGTGTGTATACACATATATACATATACGTATATGTGTGTGGATATACACACACACACTTCTCTCTTTACATTAGCAGAAAGTTCTGCAGACCTCTATATAAAACAATTTCTCCCTGGTGCGAATTTACCCAAGGACCTAGAGAAGGGAGGGGTGGAGGGAGGGAGGAAAGCAAGAAGGGGGCTGCGTGCTAGTGGGAGGGGGGCACACAATTCAAAGACATGTGAGAGAGGAAGAGAAAGACACAGTGAGGCTGGGGCCAGCTACGTGGGGGCCTGGTATAACAGAGAAAACATGGGGGCAGACACATGGGGGTTGGACAGAGACACAGACAGGAGAGGACAGGACCAAGAGGTACATTTGAGGCGGACAGGTAGTGGGTGAGTAATGGGGTCAAGGTCTCCCCTCTCCGTGCTCAAGGTCTCAAGTTTCCTACCAACCCTTGTAGAGACCTGGGAAGGAGCATCGTGAAGTCAAATCCTCTGAGATATATAGTGCTCATTTAAGCTCACTCTTGATGGTATTGATCAGTGTTGCACATGCACCTTTTATGGGATTAAATAATACATCTTTTTTTATTCTTGAAGGTTGAGCTTGTCCAGATCGTCATTGATGGAGTCAATTACCTGGTGGATTGTGAAAAGAAGCTGGAGAAAGGCCAGGACATCAAAGTGCCACCCCCTCTCCCCCAGTTTGGCAGGAAGTGATTTTTCCCTTTCCCCATCCCTGCCCCTTACTCTGTCTGCTGGTATGACAGAAATAAAACGTAAATAAATCTCTAGACTGAGAGTTGCTGTAGCCATAGCAAATGTACAAATGTAGGTATTCTCAAGGGCTACAATAAAACTCTCCCTAATTTCTCTGGTTTGTCGTGTGTGAGGTTTTTTGGTTGCAATGGTGATGGTGGTTTTGTTCCTATTTTCTAAAGTCACTATGGTAACAAGGACAATCATGAATCTATACCCAATTACATGTAGCAGGATACAAAGGATTTTTAAGGCAATGAAAATGTTAACATTTGTAAGGCTATCCAAAGAACGCAATATAAAGATGCGATTATTCCCAAGACTGTTACCTATAGTCAAGATTTTAACTAGTAATTGCAATATAGAATGTCTGGTGAAATCAGACTCTGATAAAATATCAGTGGATATGAAATTTATTTAGCTGGGCTAGTCTAATAGGAAGATCCACTTACATTGCTTCATCAAGTGCATTCATTTCAGCATTGCACCAAACTTTGATGCAGAATATTCATCTCAATGAAAATAGTTGTTTCTCCTTGGCTCACCCAGGATAATGTTTTCACAAAAATGTATTGAAAATTATTTCCTACAATCAGTAGGACATCATCACAACCTATGTAGCTTTTAATTCTTTTCCACAATGTTCTTCAAAGCACTTCAGGACTTGCCTATGACCTCAGAAGAAAGGATAGATTGGGGCAATTTGGGGGCAGCTAGGTGGTGCAGTGGATAGAACACCGGCCCTGGATTCAGGAGGACCTGAGTTCAAATCGGGCCTCAGACACATAACACTTACTAGCTGGGTGACCCTGGGCAAGTCACTTAACCCCCATTGCCCAATCAAAAAAATAAAAAAAAACCAGATTGGGGCAGTTTGTGGGGGTGTCATAAAGTTGTTCCCCATTCATGGAAAGATAATAATACTGTAAACCTGCGGAATAGGAATCTCACCAATTTTTTGGTATTCGGTCCTGGATTGAACAATTGTTTGTGTAATGCTAAATGAAATAACTTCTCATGATTAAATTTAATAAATATTTGCTAAGTATCTACTTTATAGTATATGAAGAGCCCTGTGCTAGGCACTGAGGGGGTTGAAAAGTTTAGATAAAACAAAGATCCTTTCTTCATGGACCTTTCTGTTTAGTAGGGGAATAAGATAAATACAAATCATTAGGACAAAAAGCAATACAAAGTTAAGTACAAAGTTATATACTAGGGTGTATGCGTGTGTGTGTTTTGGGGGTATGGAGGGAGAGAATATTATTACTGTTAGAACGTTCGTGTTATTAATGTTTGAAGGCAGCTGGTGGCACAACGGATAGAACACTAGGCCTGGCCTCAGGAAGACCTGAGTTCAAATCTAACCTCTGACACTTACTAGGGGTGTGCCTAGGTAAATCCCTGAACCTCATTTTTCCTAAGTTTCCTTGCCTGCAATGAATGTGTAATCACCAAATGGATATGATTGGTGTCAGAACAGGAGTGGAAAACCTCCTCTAATACAACCTAGCATACACCGCTGAATTCTCAGTCCTTGAATAGTGGTTTTCTTGAGTGTGAAGGGAATTCCACCACGTGCATGAAGGAAGACAGAAAGAACACTGGCTTCAGAAACATCCTAACTGATCTCCCTGACTCATCTTTCCTTTCCATTTCATGCTCCACACAGCTGCCAAAGAAATTTTCCTAAAGTAAATGTCTGATCATGCCACACCCCCTACTCAATCAACTCCAGTGGCTCCCTATTATCTCCAAGATCAAATATAAATTCCTTTGGCATTTAAAACTCTCCACAACCTGGCCTCATTCAACATTTTCCAGCCTTATAGCACATTATTCCTCTCCATACATTCTACTTTCCATCTAAGCTTGCTTTCTTGTCCCCCCCTGCCCCTCCACACACACATACACCTCTCCATCTTCTGTCCCTGTGCCTTTGTACTGGTTATTTCCTACACTTGAAAGCTTTCCTCCTTCTCTCCTTCTGCCTCTTGAAATCTCAGGCTTCCTTCAAGACCCAGCTTAAGCATCATCTTCTGCAAGAGGCCTTTCCTGGTTGCCTCAGATACCAGTGCCCATCATCCACCTCTCTGTTACCCTTTGGATAAACCTCAATTTTAATTCTTTGGAAACTATAGTGTTCCATGACTTGTAACCATATGACAGCAACAGAAGAAATTTAGAATTTAATAACCATGATTAACATCAAATAGGTTCATCACTGGATAAATGTATGTGTTTTTCCACAGGCTGATATTATTTGGTTTTCTGTTTATAGTTAAACTCCTCTTGAACTGTATTTCTGGGTCTTTCAAACATAATTGGTCCATATTTACTCTAACTTGAATGTAATCAATTTTTTTTTTAAATTCCTTATCCTTCTATGCTAAAAAATTCACTTCTAAAGCTATTGTGGTAATCTAAGGTGTTGACTATGGTTTCTGACCACATTGCCCTGAACACCTTGTTCTTATTTTTAAAAAACCTCACTATTTGTCAACTTCCATCTCCTGACATTTCTTGAGGCAGTGTTCAGTTTATGTGGAAGCACTTCTATCCCGGCCAAGTACATCCTGTTTGTCTCAGTCACTGCTAAACATCCATGGGAGTGATAACATCCAGCCTGGAGCACTGGCTTAAGGTTACCATTTTGCCTTTTGAAATAAACACATTGACAGTTTTACCTAAAATTAAGGAAGAGATATTTTATGTGGAAGATGAGTCAAAAGGAAGGGATGAAGGCTCCTTTCTCCTAATAAATAAAATTCTAGTGGAGGTTCATGCTGCACAGTTAAAACAGTCACAATGTGCTCACAGTTCCTGTTTATCAAGATCCAGGCTCAATCAATATTTACTGAGCAAATATGTGGGCAGGACACTATGCTGAGTCATACACATTTATAAGCAGATTCCTAGGCTAGGGTTTGTTTGTGCTGCATTCTGATAGACTTAAGGGAGGAGCCCACTAGTATGGAATTATGAAGACTCTGGTGGACTTCTGCCCATGTTCTCCACAAAGCTGCACTGACATCTGTGTCCTTTTGGCCTTTCTGTAGTTGGAGGGCATCTGCTAATGGCTACCTGGCTGGAAGGAGGAGGAGAACAGGGTGTCTTTCAATTTAAAAGGGTAATCAGTGTGGAAAAATTCTAACTAAAATTGGGCCAATTAATTTCACAGTCTTAATAATTTTTGAGGGGAGAAATAAACTGTTCTAAAATGCTCAACTTCCAATTAAGTCACAGGTGATTCAGATGTACCAAAGGAAGAAAAATATTTTCAAAGGCCTAAGAAAAATAAATCACAATGTTGGGGGCAGGAAGCTAGAACTACATAATGCTACTGAGAATAGCTTCCCTGCAATTTTTATTGGTAATGCTTCCAATTGAAAATCAAGTCAGATCTACACTTAATTTAGCAAGGGCAGCTTATTTATTAACCTTTAGAATTACCCAGTGTACAGCTCACTGGAGATAATAATTCAGAATAGAAGTTATTGGAAAAAGGAGCTGATTACAATATCTTTAAAAGAGACATGTAGTTCATAAAGGAGAGTTGACAGGTTTACAAGTTTAAAGTTCATAATAAATGTTTAAATAACAGTCCTGGTCATAATAGTAAAGAAAGTTACTCTTTGCATTAGCTAAAGAGCCTCTGGTTTATAACCAACTATAGACTGCATGAAAATTTTAGAATATGGCAAACCCTAATGCATTCACCTCACCCTGAACACCACAGCAGATTTCTACTGTTAATTTACATGATAGTAAATTGAGCCACATTTTGTTTCAATTCTTACTAGCTCTTAGTCATTGGATGGGTGTTGCCTCAGACAAACTGAGACCTGGAAAATACCTTAATTTAGAAAGTGGAGGTCATCCACTGCATCCCAGGCCATCACCAGTTGTATTGACTTTTTTCTTGCCACTGGACTTTGATGACTCTGGAGGAGACAGTGAGGCTGGCAACTTGGCTCAGCCCTGATTCACTTAAATCCAATTCACAAGCAAGTCAAGACATTACCCTTATGATGTCTTTGGTCCTCTTAGAGAATGAAGGACCAAGAACAACAACTCAATTTCACAAATTCACATGGCTCATACAGTAAAGATATAACATTCTCTCTCTGATCCACATGCGTTATCAGAATTGGGTAATTCTCTTGTGACTTACATAGCCATTTGAATATCTAGGCTTTCTATAAAAAAAGACTACCATCACATAGATTATTCTAAGATTATCTTCCTATGGCAAGTAAGGCCTCTTTTCTTTTCACCATTACCTTTGAGAAATCTTAGGATTCTTGAAGAACTTCTTCAGTATTATACAAAAAACAAATAAAGCAAAATTTAACCCCAATGAAATCCTGTCTACCTTTAAGTTAAAATGCCCACTTCCGAAGTATCAAAAAAGTGGTTGATGATCATGGTCAGGAAAACACTCATGAGCTGCTTTTCTTTTTTTCTTTGTTTATTCCTACTTTTCAACATTCACGTTTGCAAGATTTTAAGTTCTAAATTCCCTCTCCCCTTCCATTCCCCACTTCCCAACATAAGCCACTTTTTAAAGAAGGTCCAAGATATATGAATAGGTTAATGTCTCTTAAAGGACCATCTTCTAGGAATATTCTAACTACAATACCTTCCCCCTCCCAAATTCAGGTAACATTTTTCCATATTAATGAATTATACTTTCTTATACTATATCAATATGACACAAAAAAACACCTGTCAGTTCAGTTAAATAAAAAAACCAGGGTGGGGGAAAATCAATAATTATTTATTCAGACCTTTAATAAAAGTACCAGGTATAACTTACCAGGTAGCATGCTAGACCCGCTATTGAAATTGTGTGTACTGCCTTAGTGTCCTGGATGTTCAGCCACCCACAGGAGAAAGGTAATGGCTTCAAAACAAACGGAAATAGCATATGGAGGAAGAACATAACATGAAAGTAAAATTTTACAGGATTATTGTAAAGATCAAATCAGAGTCTATGAATGCACTTTGTAAAGCATAAAGCCCTACATTAATGAATGAAGTCATTTAGAACCTGTTTCTTCACCTTATTGCTCCACACT